CTCTCTCTCTCTCTCTCTCTCTCTCTCTCTCTCTCTCACCCTCTCTCACCCTCTCTCACCCGGGGTGAGCACCAAGGCTCTACCACTCACTAGCCATGTAACCTTGAGAGAGCAACTTTCTCTGGGCTTCATTTTCCTTCTCTCTCAGAGAAGACTGGATCAGATGATATTTAAGGTCTGTTCCAGCTCAGACATTGTGTTCTAAGGCCCTTTCCAGTTCATACATTGTATCCTAACACCCCTCCTGGCCCTGACATTCTATGTTCTGCCATTCTGGTCCCTCCCAACCCTGACATTCTGTGTTCTAAGGGTCCTCCCAGCTCTGACACTCTTTGTCCTAAGAGCCTTCCCAGCTCTGACATTCTGTGTCCTAAGGCCCTCCCAGCTCTGACATTGTTTGTTTTGAGGGCCCTCTCAGCTCTAAAGTTGGAAAAATTTTCTTCCAACATCCCAGGTGCCCACCTTACTGTTTGTGCTCCGCCCCCACATACACACTCTCCATCCCGAGAGCACCTTTTGCAGACAGGAAATGTTCCTGGGGTCCAGTGCCTAAAGGTGGTGTCTGTTCTGGGGGGCTCATGGGGGCCTCCTGAAGTTTTAAAGGACTTCAAGACTGTGTCCAGCTCCCCCTGGGTTACATCCCAAGCACCCCCTCCTTTAGGGTCAGCCCCCTCCTGCCACGGCCACCGGAAGATCCTGGAAGGAGGCCTGAGGTCCATTCCCCTACAAGGGCCTTGCAGTCTCTGCTAGAAGACCTCCTGGGATGGCTGCCCATTCTACTCTGAGATGGCCTCCTTGTTGGAAAATTCTAGTGTCAAGCTTCTCTTTGCAGCTAACACCTCCCCCATCCCCAGAGTTCCCTTCAGGAACCGAACCAAATAATCCCCCTTTCCGTATGCCATGGAGGGTTTAACCCTTGCATCTCTGGTATGTCTGTTTTGCCCACTCTCCGTGTCCCACCCCCAACTGGTGACTGCCTCTCCTGGCCCACTATCTCAGGGGAGTTCAGTGATAATGAGAGCTAGCCTTTGTAGAGTGCCTCCTGTGTGCCAGGCTTTGGGCTGTGTGCTTTACACATATTGCCATGCTTTACTTCACTCCCTGCTCCTGGCCACCTCTAGACTCTGCAACCACTTTGTGTCGTTTCCCCTTCCCCCACCTTCCAGTTCTGAGGCAGTGCACTGGGTAGACTACTGGACCTGGAGGCAGCAAGATCTGAGTTCCAGTGTGGCCTCAGGTACTTATAATTGTGACCCTGGGTAAGTCTGTAAGTAGCTTCTGTGCCTCAGTTTCCTCAGTTGTAAAATGGGAATAACAACACTTAACTTACAGGTATGTTGAGAGACTCAAATTAGATATTTGTAAAGCGTCTAGTACGGCGCCTGGTACATAGTAGGTGCCATATAAATGCTTTTGTTGTTCAGTTATGTCCTACTCTCTGTGACCCTGTGTACCTCTGTCAATGGGGTCGTCTTGGCAAAGATACAGGAGTAGTCTGCCATTTCCTTCTGAGAGATTAAGTGACTTGCCCAAGGTCACACAGCTAGGAAGTCCCTGAGGCTGGATTTGAGCTCAGGTCTGACTCCAAGCCCAGCACTCTATCCACTGTACCACCTCGCTGCCTTGTATAAATTATTATTTTATTATTATGAATAGTTCTGGAACCATGATCAAATCAACTCTGCCTTTGTTTCTGGGTGGAGTGTATCAAACTAACTCCCCTGTGACCTCACTCACATTCCTGTAACTATTAGGAGTCAAGTACCCTTTCTTTGTCATCATTCCACATACTATATTTGTATATTCTTCTTAAGAACGGAAGCTCCTTGAGGGCAGGGAATGTTACATTTTATTAGATTTGGCTCATGATTCCAACCTGATTCTTCTGTTATCCTATACATTAGCCACGCCTCCCAGCTTCAGATAATTTGCAAATTAAATAAGCATGCCTACGTATAAGGATAGGCTTCTGCCCCCACACCCCTCTCTCACCACAATTGCCATAATCACAGAAGGCCTAGCCACCCCGGATTGAATCAATCAAAAGTATAAATTAGGTGTTAATTCCTAACCAGTTTGAGAGGATTATAGAGTCTTGGCCATTGTGTGAAAGGCAGGTGATGTCACACCTGGGGATGGGTATAAAAACAGCTAGTGAACCATGAACCAGTCTAGTGATGGAAACATTCTATTCGGACGGGAGGCTTCCATCCAGTCTGGAGGAGGCGGCAAAGGAAGGAGAACTTTTCTCTTTCCTCTTCCCCTCCAATGACTATGCCATTGGAGAGACTGTAGTTTGTCCAGGTGGCTCTCCAGAGAGAGAAGACCTGTAGGTCATGATATATCTAGTCAGGATTAAGAGACTGTGCCCCAGACTTTTAGGGGGGGCATTTTTTATAACTACAATTCCTTTATCTTCTTAGTGAATAATTTGCTAAAATGTTAATTGTCTGGCTGATTGTGGGAAGCATATCACACTGGTGGAGGCTTATGAGCAAAGTGCTAGAACCATACTCCATCAGGGTTCTCCCTAGACAACCTGACAGTGATAGCCAATGAGGACAGGAATTTCAGGGGAAGTAGCTCTGGAGGAGGTGCCACATATTCCTTCATCCAAGTCATCGATTGAAAGATTAGGCTCTCTATTTTACTTCCATGTTGTGCTGATTTGTGTTGAATTAGCAGTCCACTAAGACCATCAGAGTCTTTTTTTTTTTAAACTCTAGTTTCTAGCATCACCATCTGTAAAATTAAGGGATTGGACTTCAGGATTTGAAGGTTACTTTCCTTGCTGACATTCTGTGATTGTATAAAATATCATCTCCTCCCAACATGTGCAGGGTGGAGAGGGGTGTCTGCTGTGGAGATGTGAAGGGTGGGGTCTTTGGAGCCTCAGGCTAACAGGCCTGGAGAGGCCCCTGGTAGACAGAGGCCGGGAGAATTTGGGCTTCAGCCCAAGACATTTTGGAGTGGAGACCCTTGGGAACGCTGAGCCAGCGGACTCAGCTCCTAAGGAGCCTTGTCATTAATGAAACCTGGGGAACGTGCAGAGCCTGCAAAGAAACCATTTTGTGTGTGCCTGCATGCACATGTCTGCACACGTATGAACATGCCCCACATGTTTACATTGCATTCCTATGGGCTGTGCATACCTGTGTGGACAAGTGTGTGTGTGTTTCATCCCTGGATCCCAGAACATTAGCGTTGGAAGGACCTCAGAGGTGATCTCATACAACCTTCTCACTTCATGCATGAGGAAATGGGGGACAGTGGCTTGCCCCAACCCCCAGCAAAGGAGTGGGAGGAACAGGTCTTTAGCCGGTTAGGTCTTCCGACCTCCCCACACTGTATTTGTGTATGTGTCCACACACATGGCGTCGCAGGCATGTTCTGTGATTACCTTTAAAGGTAGGTGTGCGTGTGTGAGAGCACGGCTG